ATTCTCAGTCAAAGGAGAAAAATTGAGCAGTTATTGGAGAAATATAATATGAAAGATTGCAATACTGCTCCCACACCCATGAGTATGGATTTTTATAATAGTTTAAGTGTGGACAAAGGTGAAACCTGTGATCAAGAGATATATCACTCAGCAATAGGGAGTTTGTTATATCTATCACAGTGGTCCAGACCAGACATAGTTTGCGCAGTAAGCATTTTAAGTCGTTTTATGCTGCACCTACAAAGTTACATTGGATGGGTGTAAAGAGGGTTCTCAGATATTTAAAGGGAACCATAAATTTGGGTCTTCAAATACAGATTACTGAGGAATTGAAATTAAAGTATTATGTCGATAGTGACTATGCAAATGACATAAACACAAGGAAATCAAATTCTGGGATTATAATATTGTTTGGAGGGACTCTGATTGGATGGAAGTCCAGAAAACAAACAACTGTTGCTATTTTAACAGCGGAAGCAGAGTTTATTGCTTTATCTGAATTGTGTTCTGAAGTAACATGGTATGTACAGTTGTTGCAAGATTTAAATATTAATGTAAAAGAATCTGTAAAGGTATTTGAAGACAATGCTGCCTGTATAAAAATGGCAACTGGTGACAGGGTAAAGAACAGAAGTAAACATGTAGACATTAAGTATTGTAATGTCAGGGAAACTGTAAAAGGAAAATTGATTAGTTTACATCATTGTTCTTCTGAGGATAATTTGGCAGACATGATGACTAAACCATTGGGTGGTATTCACTATGGAAAATGTATTAAGTCAATAGGTCTGATGTCTCTTCCTGTCATGAAGGGAGGAGTGTTGGAATATTCATAAGCAGGAAGAGTCATGTGGTAACTCAGTCAGCCAATGAGAAGAAAGTGCTACTGAGTCTGTGCAAAGAGATATTGAGTTAGAAGCTGGGTTTCAGTTTCAGTCTCAGGTCTGTCTCTGCTGTAAGAAGTCTTCATTTGTGCTATGTTGCTGTAAAGAAGAATGTATGGTATTGTAAATAATTTTATATGAATATAAAGAGTTTATTTGAATCAGCTAAATGCAGTCAACTGTGAGAGCTTCTGATTTATTTTTTCACCAATAGAGAAATTAAAATTCTCTAACAAGGCTATTATGGTTAACCTATGACCATCTTTTTAAAGACACATTTTTTATCTGCAATAGTGGCAAACATTTTCTGTCTCTATGTATTTTACATAATTAATTGGGAAATAAACAAGTTCTTCTGGTGTAGAATTTTAATATTTATAAAATGTTACAAGATGTAATTTAGTTTATTTGGCTGATATTCTTGTAAAGGGAATAATTGGAGTAAGTTCAACAAATATGATTTATTTATTCCATGGAATTAGAACAATTTATAATATTTATTCTTAATGTTCATTATAAGATTTTATCTTAGAATTTAATTTTTTTTTTCATAGTGGTCTGCGAAGACAACATATATAGTAATGGGTGTCCAATAATGCAAAGGGGCATAAGATGTCAAAGCTGGTACTTTGTCACATTAATCATAATTTTAATTGTCAGCCTGGCACTTGTTTCCTTTGTAATAATCTTAATAGGTAAGTAAATACACCTTAATCTTTAGGATATTGATTGTAATGGATGACTAAGCTAGATGTTAATATCATGTTTTATGCTTATAGCATGTTCTCTTCATAAACAAAATATGAACAAATGAATGCGTATTGTATGCTGATTGTATGAAAGCCCTTTAACAGTGGTTGTATATTCAGGAGCTTTAGACCAACAGAAATTTAAAATCTTTTACTGACTCAGCATTGACTTGTTTTACAGTTGGAGTGATAGAATGGTGGTAATATACAATAACTTTATTAACCTTCCTTCTGGTAATATTTATTTATTTATTTATTTATTTATTTATTAAATTGTGTTTTTTTTAATCCTGATTTTCTACCACAACTTATTTAAAATGTTTAACAAAAAATATTCAAGCATTTACAATAATTTAAAACAATTTAAAAGACATGAAAGATTAGGAGCTTGTTAAACTTGCTTATCATTACATTTGAAAGCTATAATGAGCTATTGACCAAACATTGAACAGTAAAGAATTCTATAATGTGGGAAAATCCCAGTTCCATGTGGATGCTGGTTTGGTTTCAGGGAGAAGCAGTATTTCTCTAAAAGAGAGAAGCAGCAACCATAACTCTTTAACACATCTTAAGAAACGGGAACATTTATGATGAAGCTGATAGTCAATTTGGTTCTTTGATCCCAAGCTGCTTACAGCTTTCAGTCATATGAATTATCTTGAATTAAACCTAGAAAAAGATTCATATATAATTGAAATAAACATGGTGTGATGCTTCCTATTTTTCTAATTCCAACTAGAGTTCCAGCAGTTGGACTAATTTTGGACTAATTCCAGCTTATGAAGGGTCTTCGATGGCAGCCTTCAGCAAGAGTTTACAGTAAAGTAGCTGAGAAATTATAATGGTTTCTGAATTATATCAGCATATGTCTCGTGTTAATAACTAGATAAACTGATATTGAGTTGAGGAGCCAAACTGACTCAATCTATCCTTTATTTTTTACTATGGACTGATGGAAAGTAGTGAATGTTGCCCAACATTCTGTAGTTAGGATTTTGACTATCCTAAGTTAGCATGACTGCCACTGAACATACAGTATACTACCACAGAGCAACTTGTCATAAAACATTATATATTGCATTTCGATCACACTTAGACTGGTGTTTAAAATGGGTTATTGGTAACAATAATCATGGAGTTTGACATGGTAAGATTTGTTTAAACATAATCATTTCTTTCTCTTTGTTTCTTCTTTTTGTAACAGTACACACTGGAGAGAAGATGGATGAAGTTTCAAGAAAAATAATACTACAAAGGAGAAGTATTGATGATCTCAAGAAATTAAATGACATATTACAATACTTTAACCAGACAGAAACAATAGAGATTATAGGAAATTTCAGCACAGCATGCCAGCAATCGGGCCACACAAACAAGCAAAGCCCCATCTGTGGGATGCAGGCAGCACACAAAACCACGCCCCCTCCACGCAACCAGTTCCTGGTGCCTAAAAAGTTGGGGACCTCTGACTTAGATGGAGGAGATTACCACAAAAGATTCATATAAAGAAAGGAACTGTAAATAACTACAGAATCAGCTCAAGAATTTATATTTCATAACAGATTTATGGAAAGTCTTCCCATGTGTCCCAGCTACTCAGCCTTTTATTTCACATTATGCTCATTTGAAGCATTGAATGGCAATGAGTTCATTCTTGAAACAGCAATCTCACTTCTAATTCTAAAAAAAATCCAATTTGCAAATTGATGGAACATAATTATGGTTTCTTTGGTTTTCCACTGGTGTAATTTCCTTTTCAACCTACTATTCTTTTTTACACATTGCAGGATATAGGGTTGTTGTTTTTTTTGCCTGTTGCTGTAGCAGAATATTTAAATAGTGGGTTAAAGAAACAAGAAACACTTTTCCTCAGGATTTATGATAATTTATGAACTGGCTAAACCAGGGTTTTTGAAACTTTTTCAAGTTCTAGTAGTTTTTTTTTTTTTAAGAAAAGAAACAAGCTTTAACAGTAGAAATTGACAATGAAGTGAAAATGGCGTTAATTGTCACCTATCCACACCAAAAGGGCTGAGAAGGAGTTACTAACTGGAGAGACTCCTTAATTCTGTCTACCCAAAACTTCCCATTTATAGTTTGGGAGAAGGGAAAAGTGATTGGGGCAGGATGACTTTACAGAAAGCAGGGAAGATAACAAAATGGCTGAAGCATTTTCTCAGATAATAATAAAAAATAAATAATAAAGCTGATTTTTGCCCTCTCAAAAAATTGCTATTGATGTTCCTGATACTTTCATTCAACTGATCTTTTTTTTAAAAAAAACCACAAGAATCTAAAGAGCATCATATTTAACTTTCTTTGCATGAAGAATATTAAAAATATTGCTGTTATGTAAAGCTGTTTTTTTTTAAAAAAAATCATATTGGAAACAAAGACATGCTCCAAAACCTAACATGAGTTTGTCAAAAACAAATCATGCCAGACAAATCTTATTGCATTCTTTGACAAGGTGACAAAATTAGTGGACCAAAGGAATGCTGTGGATATAATTTACTTGGACTTCAGTAAGGCATTTGATAAAGTAGACCCCAACCTACTACTAGATAAGATAGAAAAATATGGGTTAGACAGCATTACCACCAGATGGATTCATAACTGGAGGGAAGTATGCAGCGGGGTATCCCAAGGCTCTGTTTTAGGCCCAGTATTCTTCAACATCTTTATCAATTATTTGGATAAGGGGATAGATGGGGAACTCATCAAATTTGCAGATGACACCAAGCTGGCAGGAATAGCCAACACTCCAGAAGATAGGCTTAAGATACAAAAGTAATCTGTGCTCTTCAGGCAGAAATTAGGTGTCCAGTTCAGCCCTTCTACTCTATTGAGCCTCTGCGCTATCAGCCCCCTCTACCACAAAGATCCTGCAGGAGAAGGGCCTTGTGGACAACCGTGGGATCTGGCAGGGTGAGAGCTGTGAACCATAAACACAAAGCTTTTGCTGTGTCCCTGCACAACAGATACAACGCCCTTGCTGACCTTAATATGGAAATTAAGGAGACAGGTAAAGGTATTTGTGATGATAACTCAAATAAGCAAGGGATCGTGGACCGAGATGAAGAACTTGTTTCTGACAGGGAGAAGTGCGAATCAGGTATTACATACCAGTCATGCAAGAACAGAAAGGCATCCAAAAAGAGAAGCCACCTTTTGGTTGGTGATTCAATTATAACGGATGTAAATTTAGGAAAGGACACAGAGGTTTCAAAAGAGGTGCTACTGCCAGTAGGGACAAGAAGCGTATTTCTAAAATAATTAAGAATACCAGCAAGGACTGTGATGTGGAGGCTATTGTACATCTTGGCACTAACGATCTGTCCCAAAAAGATGTGCTCTCTGTGCAGAATAATTTCCAGAGCTTGGGGCAGGAACTTAGCAAAATAGGCTGTAGGCTAACTTTTTCAGAGGTTTTACCAGTGTATAAAGAGCAAAATGAAAAAGGCCAGTGTATAGCACAATTCAATATGTGGCTAAAGGAGTGGTGTAAAGGGGAAGGCTTTGGATATATTAGTCATGATGTCAGTAGTTGGTCCCATGAAAAAATGTACAAAAGAGATGATTTGCAACCATCAAAGAAAGGGACTGAATTATTTGGCTATAAATTCACAGATTTTCTGGAGGAATATAAAAACTAAACAGCGGGGACAGTGAGTTAATCGATACAGAGCATCCCTGTCCCTGGCAATCTAAAAACAATAGGGCTATCAGTGCATGTAACATAGATATGTGTGTGGACAAAAATACCAACCTTGCTGTCAAGCAAAATCAAGCTTTTAATAACGAGTGCCACACAAAGTGCACTAACCAAATAGGTGGTAAGACCTATTAGGTGGTAAGACTCAGGCACCACACAGGTTATGTAGAAAGTAAGCACAGGGTCGGTCATAAAGGACTCAAATGTCTATACACCAATGCACAGAGTATGAACAGCAAACAGGGGGAACTAGAAATTCAGGTCAATGAGGTCAGATATGATATTGTTGCCATTACAGAAACATGGTGGGATGAAACCCACAAATGGAACACACAGCTAGAGGGATTTAAATTATTTAAAAGAAACAGATCAAATAAAAGAGGAGGTGGAGTTGCTCTCTATATAAGAAATAATTACATCTCCACAGAAACAGAGCACAACAATGATGAAAACTCTTGAATGCATTTGGGTCAATATAAAAGGGAGAAAAAATGACATTGCCATAGGTGTATACTATAGGCCACCCAACCAAACAGAGGAAATAGATGAAATTTTTGCTAGTCAGCTAACTAAGGTATGTAGGAAGCATATCACCATAGTAACGGGGGACTTTAATTACCCTGACATCAACTGGGAGACAAACTCTGCACCAAGTGGAAGATCAAACAGATTCCTGACAAACCTAGCAGACAACTTTGTGTCCCAAAAAGTAGAGAAGGGAACTAGGGGATTAGCCATTTTGGATCTAATTCTCACTAACAGAGATGAAATGATAAAAGGTGTTGAAGCCACAGGAACCTTGGGAGGTAGTGATCATGCAATATTGGAATTCAACATTATGGAAGCACAAGCAATAGAACATAGTCAAACTAGAGTCTTGGACTTCAAGAGAGCTAATTTCAATAAACTTAGAGAGGGCTTGGGAAGGATTCCATGGATGAGAATCCTCCCGGAGAAAACAACGCAAGAAGCTTGGGAAATTTTGAAAAGCAAGATAATAGAAGCCCAGTCTAGCTCAATACCAACAAAGAGGAAAAATAACAGCTCTCAAAAGAAACCAGCATGGCTGCATAAAGAACTCTCTGACAAATTGAAAGATAAAAAGGACAAGTATAGAAAGTGGAAAGAGGGGCACATAACTAAATCAGAATATCAACAAATAGCCCGAGCCTGCAAAGATGAAGTGAGGAAAGCCAAGGCTCAAAATGAACTAAGGCTTGCGACCAAAGTCAAAAATAACAAAAAAAGCTTCTTTCAACATGTAAAAAACAAGAAAAAAGTAAACGATTGGTCCATTAGTGGGTGAAAGTGGTAAGAAGGTGACTAGCAATAGGGAGAAAGCAGAACTATTTAACTTGTTTTTTGCATCTGTCTTTACACAAAGGGAAAAAACAGACCAACCTATTAAAAATAGTACCATAAAAAACAGTATAGAAACACAAGTTAAGATAGGCAAGAAAATGATAAGTGATCACCTGTCCAGCCTAGACGAGTTCAAATCACCAGGACCAGATGGATTACACCCCAAGGTTCTCAAGGAACTGGCAGATGTGATCTCAGAACCACTGAACTATATTTTTCAAAGATCTTGGAGCACTGGGGAACTACCAGAGGACTGGAAAAGAGCTGATGTAGTTCCCATCTTCAAAAAAGGGGAAAAAATGGATCCAGGAAATTACAGACCTATTAGCCTGACCTCAATACCTGGGAAGATTCTGGAAAAGATAATCAAACAATGAATCAGCGAACACCTAGAGGCAAACAAAGTCATTACTAAAAGCCAACACGGGTTTGTCAAACAAAGATCATGCCAGACAACCTTATTGCATTCTTTGACCAAGTGACAAAATTAGTGGATCAGAGGAATGCTGTGGATATAATTTACTTGGACTTCAGTAAGGCATTTGATAAAGTAGATCATAACCTACTACTCGATAAGATAGAAAAATGGGGTTTAGACAGCATCACCACCAGATGGATTCGTAGCTGGCTGACCAGCCGTACTCAGTGTGTGGTCCTCAATGGAACTGCATTTACATGGAGGGAAGTGCGTAGTAGGATATCCCAGGGCTCTGTTCTAGGCCCAGTGCTCTTCAACATCTTCATCAATGATTTGGACGAGGGGATAGATGGGGAACTCATCAAATTTGCAGATGACACCAAGCTGGCAGGAATAGCCAACACTCCAGAAGATAGGCTTAAGATACAGGAAGACCTGGACAGACTTGAACACTGGGCGCTATCTAACAAAATGAAATTAAGTGGTGAAAAAAGTAAGGTTCTACATTTAGGCAAGAAAAACCAAATGCACAGGTACAGTACAGGTGGTACCTTGCTCAATAGTAGTAACTGTGAGAGGGATCTTGGAGTCCTAGTGGGTCCTAGTGGACAATCACTTTTGGCAACTACAGTAGTGTGCTGTAGTTGCCAAAAAAGCTAACACAGTTCTAGGCTGCATTAACAGAGGTATAGAATCAAGACTATGTGAAGTGTTAATACCACTTTATAATGCCTTGGTAAGGCCACACTTGGAATATTGCATCTAGTTTTCGTCACCACAATGTAAAAAAGATGTTGAGACTCTAGAAAGAGTACAGAGAAGAGCAACAAAGATGATCAGGGACTGGAGGCTAAAACATATAAAGAACAGTTGCTGGAATTGGGTATGTCTAGTTTAATGAAAAGAAGGACTAGGGTGACATGATAGCAGTATTCCAATATCTCAGGAGTTGCCACAAAGAAGAGGGAGTCAAGCTATTCTCCAAAGCACCTAAGGGCAGGAAAAGAAGCAATGGATGGAAACTAATCAAGGGGAGTAGCAATTAAAATAATTAGTGGAACTTGCCTCCAGAAGTTGTGAATGCTCCAACACAGAAGTTTTTAAGAAGAGATTGGACAATTATTTGTCTGAAATGATATAGGGTTTCCTGCCAAAGCAGGGGGTTGGACTAGAAGACCTCCCAAGTCCTTCCAACTATTCTATTCTATTCTATTCTATTCTATTCTATTCTATTCTATTCTATTCTATTCTATTCCCACTCCACTCCACTCCACTCTACACTCTACTCTACTCTACTCTACTCTACTCTACTCTACTCTACTCTACTCTACTCTACTCTACTCTACTCTACTCTTAGCACCATACCACTGACCATCAGATAAGGTACAGTTATCTAATAGCCTGGGTCTCAGAAACTCAGCTTCTTTGCACTGCTTCTTTGCCAATTTGAATGACATATTATATTTCTTTCTCACATTTTCTGCCCTGAGCTTCTCTCTCAGTTCTGATGAGTATTTCCAGCATAAGAAGACTTTTTCTGGTAATTAGCTTCCACTAAAAAAAATAATTGCAGTAGACAGCAACCAACTCTACAAAAAGAGATCAATCAACCATAGTAGTAATATTTAATATATAAGTAGTCCTCAACTTACGATCATAACTGAACCCAAAATGTTTCTATGTGAAACATTTAAGTGTTTACCCATTTTACGACCTTTCTTGCCACAGTTGTTAAGTGAATCATTGTAGTTAAATTAGTCAAAGTGCTGTTAAGTGAATC